CCGCGTGACCCCACGCTCCCCTCCCGGCGTGCTGCGCATCCGGGCCTCTGCTCCTCGCGAGGGGAAGATGGCGGCCGCAACTGTGGTGCTTCCCGCCGAGTGGGTAAGGAGCTGGGAGAGGTCCGGGCGCGGCGAGTTTCTGCACCTGTGCCGGGTTCTCGCAGAAAGCGGGGGCCCGGCCAGCGCGGCGTCCGCGGGGTTCCAGCAGGCTCTCTACGAGCTGTGCTCCCACGCCGTCCACGGAGCGCTGAGGCACGACCAGGCCGCCAGTGTGCTCGGGGACCTCAGGGAAGCGCGGGAGGACATGCCCTCCATTCTCGCCGACGTATTCTGCATATTAGACATTGAGACGAATTGCTTAGAAGAAAAAGGCAAGAGAGACTCTTTCACACAGTTGGTATCGGCCTGTCTGTATTTCGTTTCACACACGATTCTAAAGGAACGCCTGGATCCGGAAACACTGGAATCATTAGGGCTTATTAGACAGTCACAGCAATTCAATCAAAAGTCGGTCAAAATTAAGACTAAACTCTTTTATAAACAGCAGAAATTTAATTTATTAAGAGAAGAGAATGAAGGTTATGCCAAATTGATTGCTGAATTGGGTCAAGATTTACCTGGAAATATTACTAGTGATTTGCTTTTAGAAAATATCAGATCTTTGATAGGATGCTTTAACCTGGATCCCAACAGAGTTTTGGATATCATTTTAGAAGTGTTTGAATGCCGGCCAAAACAAGATGACTTCTTTATGTCTTTATTAGGATCTTACATGAGCATGTGTGAACCACAAACACTGTGTCATATTCTGGGGTTCCGATTCAAGTTTTACCAGGAACCAAATGGTGAGACACCATCATCTTTATATAGAGTTGCAGCAGTACTTATACAGTTTAACCTGATTGAATTAGATGATCTTTATGTACATCTTCTTCCAGCTGATAGTTGCATTATGGATGAACACAAACAGGAAATTATAGAAGCTAAGCAAATTGTTAGAAAACTTATAGCAGTTGGGTTTTCTTCTGAAAAAATTGATGACCGAGAAAAAGAAAAGGAAAAAGAAGAGGACAAAGTAGGAAAGCCACCTGACAACCAAAAACTTGGTTTGTTGGAAGCTTTGTTACAGATCGGTGATTGGCAGCATGCACAGAACATTATTGATCAGCTCCCTCCATTTTATGCAGCTTCACATAAGCCAATAGCCCTTGCTCTTTGCAAGCTCATTCACGTAACCATTGAGCCTCTCTACCAAAGAGTTGGTGTTCCTAAGGGTGCTAAAGGCTCACCTGTTAATGCTTTGCAGAACAAGAGAGTACCAAAACAAGCAGAGAGCTTTGAAGATTTGAGGGGAGACTTGTTCAATATGTTCTCTTACCTTGGTCCTCACCTCTCTCGTGATCCCATTTTATTTGCAAAAGTGGTGCGCATTGGAAAGTCATTTATGAAGGAGTTTCAGTCTGATGGAAGCAAACAAGATGATAAAGTGAAAACAGAAGCTATCCTTAGCTCTTTGCTTAGCATTGCTGACCAGGTACTACTTCCGTCTCTATCTCTGATGGACTGTAATGCTTGTATGTCTGAGGAACTATGGGGAATGGTCAAAACATTTCCATATCAGTATAGATATCGTCTGTATGGCCAGTGGAAGAATGAGTCTTACAACACTCACCCACTTTTACTAAAAGTGAAAGCTCAAACAGTAGACAGAGCCAAATACATCATGAAGCGTCTAACCAAGGAAAATGTGAAGCCTTCTGGAAGACAAATTGGCAAATTGAGCCATAGTAATCCATCCATTTTGTTTGACTACATCATGTCTCAAATACAGAAGTATGATAATTTAATAATACCTGTAGTAGACTCATTGAAATACCTCACTTCATTGAATTATGATGTCTTGGCCTATTGTATCATTGAAGCATTAGCTAATCCAGAAAAGGAGAGGATGAAACATGATGACACAACCATCTCAAGCTGGCTTCAGAGTCTGGCTACTTTCTGTGGTGCAGTTTTTCGTAAATATCCAATTGATCTTGCTGGTCTTCTTCAATATGTGGCCAATCAGCTAAAGGTGGGCAAGAGTTTTGACCTGCTTATATTGAAAGAAGTGGTACAAAAAATGGCAGGGATAGAAATTACAGAGGAAATTACAGTGGAACAACTAGAGGCCATGACTGGTGGAGAGCAGCTAAAAGCTGAGGGTGGTTATTTTGGCCAGATCAGAAACACTAAAAAGTCTTCTCAGAGATTAAAGGATGCACTATTGGACCACGATCTTGCTCTTCCTCTCTGTTTGCTTATGGCTCAGCAGAGGAATGGGGTAATCTTTCAGGAAGGTGGAGAGAAACCTTTGAAACTTGTGGGAAAGCTCTATGACCAGTGTCACGATACCCTGGTACAGTTTGGTGGGTTTTTAGCATCTAATCTAAGCACAGAAGATTATATAAAGCAAGTGCCTTCAATTGATGTGCTCTGTAATGAATTTCACATGCCCCCTGATGCAGCATTTTTCCTATCTAGGCCAATGTATGCACATCGTATTTCGTCCAAGTATGATGAACTTAAAAAATCAGAAAAGGGAAGTAAACAGCAGCATAAAGTTCATAAGTATATCGCTTCATGTGAGATGGTGATGGCTCCTGTCCATGAAGCAGTGGTCTCCTTACATGTTTCCAAAGTCTGGGATGACATCAGTCCTCAATTCTATGCCACATTTTGGTCATTGACAATGTATGACCTCACAGTTCCACACACCAGCTATGAACGAGAAGTCAATAAACTTAAAGTCCAGATGAAAGCAATCGATGACAATCAGGAAATGCCTCCAAATAAAAAGAAAAAAGAAAAGGAGCGTTGTACCGCATTTCAGGACAAGCTTCTTGAAGAAGAAAAGAAACAGATGGAACATGTACAGAGAGTTCTACAAAGACTGAAACTGGAAAAGGACAACTGGCTTTTAGCAAAATCTACGAAAAATGAGACCATCACAAAATTTCTACAACTATGTATATTTCCTCGATGCATTTTTTCAGCTATTGATGCTGTTTACTGTGCTCGTTTTGTTGAACTGGTACATCAACAGAAAACTCCAAATTTTTCCACACTTCTTTCCTATGACCGCGTATTCTCTGACATAATTTACACAGTTGCAAGCTGTACTGAAAATGAAGCTAGTCGATATGGGAGATTTCTTTGCTGCATGTTGGAGACTGTGACCAGGTGGCATAGTGATAGAGCCACATATGAAAAGGAATGTGGAAATTACCCAGGATTCCTTACTATATTACGGGCAACTGGTTTTGATGGTGGAAATAAAGCTGATCAATTAGACTATGAAAATTTTCGACATGTTGTTCATAAGTGGCATTACAAACTAACCAAGGCATCGGTACATTGCCTTGAGACAGGTGAATATACTCACATCAGGAATATCTTGATTGTGCTAACAAAAATACTTCCTTGGTACCCAAAAGTTTTGAATCTGGGTCAGGCTCTGGAAAGAAGAGTGCATAAAATCTGCCAAGAAGAAAAAGAAAAGAGGCCAGATCTATATGCACGGGCTATGAGCTACTCGGGGCAACTGAAAAGTAAAAAGTCATACATGATACCTGAAAACGAGTTCCATCACAAAGACCCCCCTCCAAGGAATGCAGTTGCCAATGTACAAAATGGACCTAGTATTGGGCCTTCTTCATCGTCAATAGGAAGTACATCTAAATCAGATGAACGCAGTATTGAGGAGACTGATAAAGCAAGGGAGAGATATCAGTGTGGTGTGAAAGTTGTAAATAAAGTTTCTAGTGCCATACAAAAAGGGAATTCAAGTAATGGAAATAGTGGCTCTAACAGTAGAGCTGTTAAAGAAAATGACAAAGAAAAAGGGAAAGAGAAAGAAAAAGAGAAAAAAGAAAAGACCCCAACTGCTGCTGCAGAGGCCAGAGTAATTGGTAAAGATGGTAAAGAAAAACCAAAGGAAGAGCGCTCAAATAAAGATGAAAAAGCAAGAGAGACCAAGGAAAGAACTCCCAAGTCTGACAAAGAGAAGGAAAAAGTCAAAAAGGAAGAAAAAGCTAAAGATGAGAAATTCAAGATCACTGTCCTCAATGTAGAATCAAAATTGACTCAGGAAAAGGAAAAAGAGAAGGAGCTATCGAAAGAAAGAGAGATAGCAAAGGAAATTAAATCAAAGGAAACTGTTAAAGGAGGGGAAAAGGCGCCAATTTCTGGATCCTTGAAGTCCCCTGTTCCCCGACTAGGTATTATGGAGCCTGAAAGGGAACAGAAACGTCGCAAAAGTGATACCTACCCTTCTCCATCACATTCCTCCACAGTAAAGGACAGTCTTGTAGAGTTCAAGGAGTCTTCATCAAAGTTGTTCACCAATCATACTCCTCCACCACTGTCCAAAAGTAAAGAGAGAGAAGTGGACAAGAAAGATTTGGATAAGTTGAGAGAAAAATCTAGAGAAAAGGAGAAGAAAGATGAAAAGGACAAGAAAGAGCGAAAAAGGGAGCACTCAAACAATGGCCGTGAAGTGCCAGTAGACTTAACCAAGAGGCGTAAAGAGGAAAATGGAGCAGGGGGGCTTTCAAAACGCAAAAGTGGAAGTCCATGTGAGTCTCCCTACCCTAATGAGAAGGACAAGGAAAAAAAGTCAAAATCTTCAGGCAAAGACAAAGGTGGTGATTCATGTAAATCTGAGAAGCTGGAGAAAGTCCTTTCTGCTGGCAAAAAGGAGTCCAGGCATGATAAAGAAAAGGTAGAAAAGAAAGAGAAACGGGACAGTTCAGGAGGAAAAGAAGAAAAGAAACAATCCTTGGACAAGCACAGATAAGACTTTCAATCGGGCTAGGCAGATGCCTAAGCCAAAAGTCTCCCAGGAGAATGGCAAAGCTCTATG